ATTTAGTGTTACCTTTAAAAGGAAACACACTGTATATATTAAAAAACTAGATTGCAATCTTTATACTACATTAATGAGAAATGTTTAGATCTGCCACCATTTTTAAGCAGGCAGCATTTAAATTTACTCAATATACTGTGATAACATTTTTTTGAAAATACTGTCTATTTTAGAAAGAGCGACCAAGTTTAATGATAAAAAGGAGGTGTGTATCTAGTTAATATATATATACAGTAAGGTTTTGATAATTCGAGCATAGGCTAATCTGAACGAGCTTGAGAATTATCTTATCGCCATAAATGTAMATATGTATGTATTCATAAATAATATTTTATCCGGCAATAAAATTTTTCGATTATGTRAGACAAGRTACATCAATCCATGATAGAAACTAGTTTACAAAAAAAAAAAWAWAAWWAAATAAATCAATATTTAAAATAGTTAAGTTCATAATTATATTAATATTTTTATATATTCATTGTCTTTTGAAATTATGAATTTTTACACGATTAATACAAATAAAATAAAATTTCATAATTTAAATTACAATAAAATTGGTGTTTTTTTTTTTAAGTCATACGTAATCCGAACGACCACTTTCCCCAATCTCGTTTGGATTATCGAAACCCTACTGTATAATGTCTTACATTCAACACAATACATTTGTTTGTTTCTGAGACAGATTTTATAAAATAAAATTTCTATCATCTAATAAATGGTTTGTAAAAAAATATATTATTAAACAATTCAAAAAATAATTATAAAAACATAAAGGACACTATTCAGAAAAAAGTAAAATATCATACTCAATAGATTTAATCAGGGGACAATTTTTATTATTTTTATTTTCGGACATGACGTAAAAAAGACTTCAAATTTCTCTTTAAACATTAAACTAAATTAAATTTATGTAAGCAATTCAATATCACTTCATTTGATCCCCATTTCTATATAAATATTTAAAAATGTTTTTTATATATTATAATCAACAACATGTATAACATAACATGTAAACATGTTATTTTGAGAATTGAAAATACTATTTTGTTCAAAATCCTGGATACATTCTTTTGATATTTTAGGTTAGTTGCACATGTTTCTAAATTTAWTATTCTATAACAATTATAGGAATCTATAAAATGTTCTACTGATAATCTAATGAAAACATTAAATTCTAATAATCATTAGTATTTTTTTTAAATATATAAATACAATTTAATTTAATTAATTAACTAATATTATAATATATTATTAATACAATTACAATACATTAGTTGAGTAAATAGTTATATGTATATGATAAAGGTTAACAGTTGTTTATTCAAAATAGAGCTTTGAAAAGTTTCGAAACATAATAATTATTCAAAAAATAAAAATTGTATTTATAGTTTATTTTAATTATAATA